CCCCCCCCAAGATTGAAGGCATTACCTAGAGCATAAAGGAATTTTTTAAATTTTGAAACAAACTATAAATATTTTAAAAATACAGAAAGCTGGTAACTACTAAAGGCCTCCCCTCCTCCACCTTCCTTGAGGCTTGCTGTTTGGGTTTTGTGCTATAGGTGTCTTGGGATGCTTTAAGATTAAAGTATCATTTCCTTATTTTTGTTGTATTTTAAATTTTTGGAGATAAGGAGTGTTTCCATATGTCTTCCTTATGTGAGAACAGTGTTTTCAATCCATACTGCTAATAGGAAATTAATTATATTAACTGGTAATATTGGTAAAGGTCTTGTACACATACTCATTTTTATTTTACAGGTTTCTATAAATCTGGGACTAGTTTATAAAATACAGCAGCACAATGGTATTATCTTTCAGTTTATAGCATACATCAAAAGAAGACAAAGAACTGTGCCTGAAATTCTTGCTGCAGGGGGCAGATATGATCATCTGGTATGTGCTCATCTCTTTTAACGAATTTAGATTTTTTTTTTTTTTTTTCCAAAAACCATGAAAAAATGAAAAACTTTTTTGACATTTTGCAAAGATAACTATTTGGGTCTTCCATTTTGTTTTTGTCTTGTTTTGAGATTCCACAATTTAGAGGGCCGCAGACAGTAGGACCAGTTCCTTCAGCTGTTGGAGTCAGCATAGCTATAGATAAAATAACTGCTGCTGTTTCCAGTGTGGAGGATTCTGTAAGTCTGTTTTTTGGGAGGTGGGGGTTTTTTGCTTGTTTACTCCTTGACGGTTCAGTAATCTAACTGTAGCCACAGATGGGCAAAAAATAAGATGTGTTCCAAAATAATACCATACTGAAATAGACAGCAAACATCAAGATGACCTGTTTTCTTCTGTTTCTCTACATAGAATTATTTAGTAACATAAGAATTAGGGGGAGAGAGGATCTTCAGGCTTTATACCCTTTTATTTTTGATTTAAATGGGACATTTTTCTCAGCCTGTGGATTGTTTCAGATGAAGACAACAACTGTAGATACTTAGCTAGTAAGTGTTACTTTGCCCCTACCACTTCTCCCTTTATAAAAGTATAGAAGGTAGAGATGGAAGGAAACTTAAGAAAATGGACTACTTTGTACAGTGTCACAGTTTCACTTGGTTGTGGAATGTGTATTTTATTAACTCTTCTTTGTAAGAATAAATTAACATTGCTAAGCAGAGTGGGAAGGAAAGAACGGAATAGGCTAGGATACTTTGCAAGCTGAGGCTGTGCAGATGCCTTTCATCAAAGATTAAGCTTCAGTGACTTTCAAACATGCTTAGGTAGATTGTGGCTCTAAAAACAGGTGCATCTAACTCCTTCGTTCAGCTTGATGCATTTTGAAAAACATTAGTATATTTATCCTTCTTTGTTACTTTAACTGCCTTATGAAGGGGAAAAGGTGGTCTTATGGCTAATATTGTCCCCCTTGTTTTTACTGTCTCTTCAGGTTTCTGTCAGCTCGTGTGACCTGCTGGTTGTAAGTGTTGGTCAGATGTCAATGGGTAGAGCTATCAATATTGTTCAGAAACTCTGGACTGCAGGAATTCCAGCTGAAATAATGTATGACTGGTCCCAGGTAGAATTTCTATCTCCATGTTAACTATATTGTTGTTCTTTAAGATTAGTGCAGCCTGAGATCATCCTTTTTCAATTTTTCTAGTTTTTATTGAGTTACAGACTCATAAAACTGCACATCTAGGGTGCTATTCAGATACAATAATGTTAAGAAAGTCTCACTGGCCTTGCAGCATTCTTCCTCTCTACCTCCCAGAGTATTTAAAAGTGCAATAGGGGATCTTCATGCGCTCCTCAGAGCACAGAGGAATTAAGTGACCTTCCCCAATTATACACAGAGTGTGGAGTCCAAGGCCTATTGAAATCAAGGGAGAAAGTCACGTAATGAATTTAAAATGAGGCCAGTTAGCTCCAATTAAGTGAAGTGAGGATGCTTCAAAGCAGAAGCATATTTTGTACCAGTGAAGGCAATAAATTTTCCTTTCAATGAGGGCTGCAAGTAGGATCCCTGAATTAATGAGTTAATCCTTAATAAAAGGTATGTCTGGAAGAGAACAGTAGCATCAACTTTTAAATATATCCAGATGGCTGAAGACCATCAGGTATAGAGGGAATATTGAAATTATTCTACTGTTAGAAAAACAGTTTAGTCAACTGAGCTACAAGATATGCTATGGGGTCCCCGTGTAGTCCCTGGAGAGATGTATGGCAGGAGGGAGAGAAAGTGGCAAGCTGAGTTGTGCCTTTTTTCTCCAGTTGAAACCAAGCAGACCTTTACCCACTACTATCTCACTGGAGTAGTGAGCTACATGGCAATGCTGAAGTCCCTTCTAATAGTGGTGGCAGTTATCTGAGGATTATGAGTCTGGTTCACCTTTTAAGTATGCCAGTTGATGACTAACAAAAGAAACACTCTGCAGTTGGCCATTTTGAGTCATGTGCTGCAGACAGTTTTGAGCTTGCTCACCTAATTGCCTGACTTTTTTGTAATCTTTTGCCATAACATTTCCAATGGTTTCAATCGCTCAGAATTGAAAAAAAAATCCTGATCATTATGCTTTTCCTATGATCACCCTGGGTTCTCTTTTTGCGATTCTTAAGGAATGAAGATTTGGGTAGGTTTTGCCTCTGTGTAATGCTGTCCTGCAACCCACTGCTAAGTCAGCATAGCAAGCCTTTCAGTAAGCTCAGCACTGAGAATGATGCAAGTCAGCCTCAGGTTTACATGAAATGCAGCTAGAGTCAGCTTTCATGACAGACTACCAGTCATGCAGGACTGAGCTATTACTGAAAGTTGCAGACAGTGGGATAGTAACTGTTTGACTGACGTTACATTGCACATTTTTGCACTTATCTAGACCCTACCCCTTCCAGTGGGAACTAGGACTGCAGGGCCTAGGCATTCTGTCTGTCTAGTGCAGACTTAGACAGATTTCAATTTTTAAGGAGCATTGGGTGGATAAATATATGCATAATGAAGTTTCAGCTCCTGGACTTGTTAATAAAGCTTTCCTCTCTCAGAAGCTTATATAACCAGTGTAATTGCTGCATATCAAGTTACTTTAATTAAGGACAGAGACTTTGATTACTTAAGTGATCATTTTATAATCTGTCAAATTTCTGTCCCATTCCCCTTCCCCTGTTCCCATTTTAGTCCCAGGAAGAACTGCAGGAATACTGCAGATGCTCAGGGATTACATATGTGGCTCTTGTGTCAGATAAAGAAGGAAGTCATGTGAAGGTAAGTGTGGGACCAGAGGATGCTTGATGGTGTTTCAGATTTATAATCTGTTGTTCTACATTTCTGGGTTTTTTGACATCATGATTATTTTCAATAAAGTATTTAAATAGATGGAATTCAGGTAAACACAGTTTCAGTGCTAAATAGTAGCTGAAGAAGCCTGCTTTTTATCCCTCCATAACACTTGTTATTCACAGACCTCCTTTCCTCTGGGAAAGTCCAAAAATGAGTGCAAACATCACTTGACTTTGAGTCATCAGTGTCTTTACGTGGAAAAAGGTTTCTGTTGTCTCTGATTTCTTTGAATCTACAAAATGAATTAGTTGACTCAATGATCTTTTCAGTTGGCAGCTTTCCATGTTACAAAACAAATATAACTAAAACGTGAATCTAAAAAAATCCATGTAGTTCAAACAGGCAGAGTCTGAACCACACTCCTCATCTCTGTAAGCTAAGGTTAAGATGGAAAGACTGGACTGTGTCACAACATGAATTACCACCTTATGTGCTCTGCAGCCTGTGGTTCTTTTAGAACTTTTAGAAGTTAGAAGTTTTAAAATATTCTTGATTCTGGATCATTAGGAAAAAGATAATTATTCTTTGAATAAAGATTCATTCTTTGACTGAAAAAAAAAAGTAACCACTTGACAGCATCTGGCGTGACCATGTTACCTAGCCCATGTGCATTACTAAAATATTTTTTACTTGTTACTCACTTTCCTTGTCACTGTAACAGAGAGAGCAAATAACTGTGCAATAACTGTATGAACAAGTAGATTTTGATCATGAGCATGCGATATATCAATGTCTTCCACAAGACTATTACAGAGTGTTCTTTTAAATACGGCTTTATTGAAGCAAAACCAACAAAGAACATGCTAATGAGGTGAATGGTGGTGTTAGTGATTAATCTCTTCCCAGTAAAGATGGAGCAGATATTCTAAGTTTTGAATGTTTGAGTCTAACTGTTGCAAACTGAAAGGCAAGCCTTATTCTAACGTAATTCCTTAATTAAAAAAATAGCCCAAAACCAAATATGCTATTATTAATATGGTATTTGCACCTATAAACTATTCTATTAAAAATTTAATTATCACATATTAAAATACAAGTAATCAAGCTAGTTTAAGCTTTGGGAATACAGAGGAAATCAGTTGGTTGGGGGGAAAAAAAATCTAACCAAAGATTTAATTGGCAGTGATTGATTGGTAATGATGATAGCTTCCTGCCTTTGACTGCTTCACCTTTAATGGGTGAATAATCCAGTTTGGTTTTGATTAAATTAGATAAGTTTATTCATATGCCATTTTAAGAGTCAACAATCTTAAGAACCACTGAACTACATCATAGGTGAAATCCTTTGAGAAAGACAGACAGACGGAGAAAAGGATTTTAGAATCTGACTTAGTAGATCACCTGATCCAGAAACTGAAAACTAAAATCTGTGACGAAAGATGTAGTAGGTAAGTAGCATAACATGTCAATGTGAATAATCAAAATCAGAAGTGAATGTGTGTTTGTTTTAATGAAATAATTTTCAAATATGCTCAGTTAAACCTTGATTTTATTTGAGAAAGAATAAGAGCTTTGCTGAATTCCTTTTGAGGGGAAAAGAAAGCAAAAGGCTTGGTTATAGAATTTTATCGAGATTAATAAAGAGACTGATTTCCCTAGCTGCTGATACATTCAAACATCCTTAGTGCTTCGTAAGTTAAAAGACCATGCAGTTATCCAGCTCAGATGCTACTAGAACACCAGTATTGTTTGTATGGCAGGACTGCCTGCAAGTCCTTGTCACTGTTCATGTACTGTGTAATCAAAGAATTAAAGCAGCAAATACCTTTCATTCTGAGGCAGTATTGATAGGGTAAAAATGAAGGTGTAATTGTAGCACACTTGTACACTTTGGCTGGCACAGGTGAAAGCAACACCTGGCAGACTCAGGGTACACAGCAACACCCCATCATCCTGTCTTTGTTGAAATTACTATTTATTGTCACCAATAGAAGTTATCACAGGAGAGGCTACAGTCACCCCTGTGTGTATAAGCAGTATAGCTGTTATTCATACATATTTCTTTGTAAATATACAATTATACAGACATCTATATACATTTTTGTGTGTACATATATTTGTATGTATGTACTGGCAGCAGGAACAGACATGGTTTAATCACACAAACTAGAATTCAGAAACTAACAGATTTGACATTCATAGTATTTCTGAATAGACTTAACAATAAAGAAAATTGTTAAGCTGGGAAATGCTTAACTCGAGCAGTAGTTTGTGCAGGTGGCTGACGTCTCTTGCTACCCACCTCTTCATTCTCCTTTTTCTTGCCTCAGCCAGTCTTGGCATTTAACTTCACGCCTAACCTGATTCTCAAGTGTTTTGTGACAGATCTACAGGCTCTATTAGAAGCTGTGAAAGAAAATCATTCTTTCTAAAAGTTACCTTATTTCTAGATCCTGAGAACAGAATATAGAAAAACCCGTATTTGGTAATACTAAACAGAGAAATGCAATAACTATGATTGTAATAAAACTGGCAAATTTCTTTGTTAATCAGTCTTGAATGTGGAAGGTAAAGGGATCCAAACTAATTATTGAAAGCTTCTTTGAATATGTGTGATCTTAAGTATAAATATTACTTTGATACTTCAGTATTATCTCACAGAAACCTGTAAGAAGTTGTAGATTAAATTAATAATTTAGAGAGAATATTCTCATGATATATTCTAGTATTAGGATCTAGATCACTCTTGCATGATGGGGAGCTCATTTTTTGTATCCATGGGAAGCACAAAGATTGCTTCTAGATCTGCTTTTTGTAATATAATTTTGTATGATTTGCTGTCTGTTCCAGAATAGAATTTAATCTGCAGATACGTGCTCGGAAGTATCCATGAATTTATTTATCTGTTGGAATGAAATAAGTATGTTTGTATGATAATGTGAAACCGTGTCTTATTACAGTATTTCTTCGTTATTGTAAATTTGTTTCCCTAACTGTCTTTTGTTTATTTTTAGAGAAACCTCAGATAATCTTTTAGTACCAAATCAAAAGGGATCATTTACTAATACTTCAGGTATGTAGTCTCTAGTTATAGAACATACAAACTGTTTCTCTTTCTGCTTAAAAATTGTTTTATAAGAAAATATTGGTGGAACATAAATTTTAGAAGTATTACCAAAGTCAGAGCAAGAAAATGTTTTCTAGCAGTGCTTGTGGTTAGAGACACTTCCTCCTAATCTCAAATGTTGTTCCAAGTGATCTAAAACTGAAATTTTCTCCAAACTAACAAAATGTGTGCTCAGACCAACAGACAGAATATTCCCCATACAAGCATTCATTGATGCAGTGATTCAGGAGGGGGGAAAAGCCAAAAACCATGAACATTTCCTAGCTGAGGAGAAATTAAATGTCATCTTGATGAAAAATGACATGCCCTGTGATTGTTACAGTGTTGAGACCCATGTACATTGACCTACTATTCTATTTTTTTTTCTTCAAATGAAGGTGCCTTTACATTTCTAGCTACAGATTCGCACTCGTTAGTCTGATACAGAAGTTAATATATAAAGAATAATACAAGTACTTGTTGCGTGGATAAAGTTCGGTAATTTGATACATTTGATAATTATTTTATTAAGCACTGATATAGTGGGTGGTGGTGGTTGTTGTTTTTAAAGAAATACTTCCCCCCCCCTTGCATAACTGTGAGGGAGAGGGGTGGCTATGCTTAACTTGGTGGTTGTTGTTGGGTTTTTTTTTTTTTGGTATGTGCGTGACTACCAGAAGTGGCAATTTGGATTTCAAAATAAGCCATTTTAATTATTGTTATTTGGGGGAGCTGGGGCTGGGGTTTATTGTTTCCCATTGACCCTGCTATGGGAATGAGCATTAAATCATTGCCTCATTCTTGTAATAGCTTTTCTTTTTTTGATATTAGGTATGCTACATTTCCTCTGTAAAATTCTGCAAGCCATTTGGAACCTTTTATTAGTTTCAGGGAACACTGATGTAAAATACCAAATTTCTTAGTCTTACCAGCCAGTCCTTCAAAGTCATAAGTGAGCATTTGAGAATTTACATGCACGTTTCACTGTCCTATCTACTTGACTGACTTCGGGGGTTTTTAGCAGCTTTTCGAACCCTATACTATACAGATCTTAGCTTATTAATATTTTTGAATTTTTTTTTTCTTGCTACTTCTTGTATAAAAAAAAAAAAATCTAAAACTATATGTTTGCATTTTAGGTGTATTTGAATCACATGGAACTCTTGTAGTCCCTAATGTTAGTGTTATAGCTCCTGAAAAATTATCTGCCAGTGCCAGGCGTCGTCAAGAAATTCAGGTACACACGCATCAAATAAGTATTAAGAAGGGATCCTTTAAAAGTTAAGGAATGGTAGAATTCATATTTTCACCATCACCTAATCTACACAAATACATCCTGTTTGTTCTTTATTCATAAAATAGACTATGAACAACACAAAAGGTTGAAGGCAAAGACCACCTTTTTTAACATTTTGGATCTTGGGGATTATCTGTGAAACTGTGGCTCAGCCATCATTGTACGTACATATTAGACGTCTTATTTTAGTAGGAACCATGGTTCTGGAATTTTCCTTTTTTTTTTTTTTTTTTAATAAATGCTGAAGTTGTTAAAGGTGGAAGTTCAGCATGCTTTTAATTTGTAATATGTTTGTAGCAGATACTCTATGTGTTTCATTATGTCGTCTCTAACTAAAGGCCTAAGAAAAAATGGCAGATTTGACAAAAAAAAAACCCAACCCTGCCTAAAATGTGATATAATAATAATGCAGAAAAGATTAAGTGATGCTAGAAACAAATGTCAGAGTTTGCTCATTTAAGATTATTGGCTTCAAGATACTTAGAGTACATGGTAAAAAAGAACTGTAATCTTACTCCCTTTTCAGTCCAAATTTGGATGTGCAATAAAAAAATCCCCCCTATAAATCGTTTGCAGAACCCAAATAAAGAAGTGGGTGTTATTCTCTGAGCTTTGAGCTAAACAGACTTGCTGTTTTCAGGATTTTAATATATAAAAGCATCTTTCCAAGGTACAAAAGACAACGTACTGTAAGGCTGCAACTGCTTTTGTAAAGTGCTACTTTTGCAGGATTACTAGCTTGCTCTGGAAAAAAGTGTTGTAAGGCATGACCCGTACTTTGGTTTGGCTTTCAAATCAGTCATCCTTCTTCAGCTAGAGATGATTCACTGTATCCTGTCACAGGTTCTCACATTCCTCTGAAAAGTTACCTAACATCCAGAAACAGAAAGGCAGTTTTTACTACATATGTGAGAATTCACATTGTAACGTGCAGTTCTATCTGGTTTAGTACAATACCAAGTCTTTACCATTGCTGCAAGAGTGGCTCAGCCCTAGTCTCCTTCCTGTCTACTCATCACAGATTATTGTGGAATTGTTACTGAAAATTATATTAAATGTGAATTTTAGTTTAAATACAATGTAGTTCTACATCTTTTGTTAGAAGCAGCCTCTTCTGTTCTCATCATCTATGAAATAGAAAATAAGTGTTCCCAACCTGTGTCACAGAAGCAGTGTATTTTACTTTTGCCCATCTTTTGTTGCCAGGTGCAAACAAGACTTCAGACATTCATTTCTAGCCTGCAACAGAAAACAAGTGAGATTGAGATTTTAGCAGTAAGTATTTGGCAGAAGCCTGAATTAATTTTAAATTCTTAATTGAATTGGATGATGCAGTTGCTATCTGGAACAAACTACTGCCAATACTAGAGATACCAAGTGAATTAAACTTCTGGTTAAGTAAGACCCATGGCATGTTTCTTTAATACTTGAAAATTATCTCAAATGGTATGTATTGGACAGTTGTATAGAACAAAATTTAACAAGTATGTAGTTGTAAATTCTTAAGCTGTACTTAATGCTAACTACTCTGGTAGATTTAGTAACTTGTTCCTGCTAGATTGGCTCTCACATTTAAACCAACATAGCTTTTGTTTGTATATAGCTTTAGACTTTGCTGACCATGTCACAAAGGACTTAAAATGGTAAATGCTTTTCAGGAAACATACTGCCTATTTGCCTATGCCTATTTGGAACTTTCCATAATGGAATCTCTCATGAACAGTTTGTTTAAAATGCTTAAAACCTTGGTAAATTCCCAGTTCTATCAGCACAAGTGCTTCTTTGGAAATCAAAAAGTCTGACTCCCTTCAGTATAGTTAATCTCTAGTTGGCAAACTAATAACAGAAGAACTGTTAAGTATTGATCTCTGGATGATATTTTTACAGGTAGATCTGCCAAAAGCAACTGTGATACACTTCTTATCATTGGAGGTAAGCAATTAAGTATTGACGTTAAAACTCTAATTGAACAATAGATGATAAATTCTGTTCCTAATGAAGTGGAATGTAAAATTCACCCATTGTAGTTTTTCTCCTTCAAGGAGTTTGGATTAGGTTTTAAAACTTGAAAGGATTTTTTTTTTACCCAAGAAGCTTGACTGAAGCTAGAAAAATCTTTTTGTCAAATGCCCAAGTTACGCAAGACACCATTAGGAAGTCCTAATCCAAAGCTCTGGTTTTTTCCCAGGAATAGTTAGAAACTATTAGAAATTATTAGAAACTAATAGAAACCAATAAGCATTAATAGCAGTTTCAACAAAGGTGTTTCTTGAAGCTGTTAATGAAGGAGGACCCAAAATACAGATGCAATTGTTTCGAGTACAGTAGCTGAAACATCTCTTAGTGAAGCCAAGATAAAAAGGGGATGTATAAATATTATATTGACACCTTTAACAACTTAGAAACTGCTCGATGAGGGGAAAAAAAACACCACAGAGAAAGCTCTTTCTTTCCTCCAATGACAGCAATAGCTTTAAAGTCAGAAGTTCTTAGTAGAGAGATGGATGCCTGCCCACCCCCCAAAAAAACAAACTCAAGAATGGCATCTTGCCTGGAAGTGGATTTAGTACTTTCATACTTTTCTTCTGCTGCTCTGAAGCAGTGCTTGTCTGGTAATCAGACCCCAGTGAAACATTTGAAAATATTTTCAAAATACTTAGTTCATCCAGTCTATCCAAATCATGGAGATAGTTTATCACCTTTTACTTAAAAAAAAAAAAAAAAAAAAATGCACACGATCAGCTTGCATCATTCGCTTTTGACCACCCTTACACCACAGTTCTCATATTCTATCCAGCATTGCGAAACTGATAGAGCCCTTTCCATGGCTTACACTTTTTTATTGCTAAACTAGCTGTGTTAAGAAACTGATCACTAAGTTCTTAATATATTTTCTTAAAAAAAATTTTTAAAATCAAGTTGCAAATGTTGTTTATATGCATTTTGTTTGAAACCTGTTTAATTAAGGACCGTTGGCATTTTGTAACGTTCAGAAGACTGAATCCTATCAGAAGAAGTATTTCTTTTACGAGATAATGTAAAACTGTATCATAGTTCCTTTTCAATTTTTTTCTTAGTTTGATGGAGATAGACAAGCCTTCGATGCTACTGTGAGACAACTGATGTCACGATGGCCAAAACAGAGATGTTCATACTTACAAGCGATTTGTGATGAAATTTACAGTATCAAAATGGAAAAGAGGTAAATTTGTTAAGCTCTTATAGGTACATAAAACATCTCAATTATTTCTGCATTCAAACTTTACTAAACAAGCTGCTCTTAATTTGTTTCCCCCTTTCCCTCTCCCTGAGGGGAAAAAGAAATATTTAGGAAATGTGTATAGTTCCTTAAGTACTATGGGAAGAGTTTACTGGTCACCTAATCCTTGCTTGTGGTAAAACGTAAATTGTTGGCCATGTAAATTCTTCATTTTTATAAGCCTTTTCAAGAAATTCTAAAATGTATTCCCATGGTTATCTTATTTGCTGCTTTGTTCGTAAAACTGAACATCAACTATACACATTCAGGTATACTGCTGTTCTACTACATAGTAATCCTCTTTTCTCATGGGAGAGACTCAGCTTGCCTTTTAAAACTCATGAGCACATTTAATTTCTCCTGCTTTGAAGGAATATGATGGGAATCCGGCACAGCTGACAGACTGCCCAGCTTTAAGCAAACACGATGCATGTCTCCCAACATGTACAGTAAAGCCCGTTTCTGTTTTCTAAGCATGAAAAATTTACGTTTAACTTGTAGTCTCCTTGTTGGATTCTGGCGAGGCTGAAACAGGTAGTCTGGGCACATCCAGTTTTAAGCCTCAAATTTTCAACTCTTGCATGTACTGGTACAGTTAAATGAGACCTGGGTATTTATGTTCTACTGTGGATTTCATTTATAATACATTTCCTTAAACATATGTTCAGCTTGAAGGTACTACTTAACCTTTAAGTAAGACTAAAAATCTACTTTGACTCCTTTTCCTTAGAGATGCACCAAAATTGCTTCAGGTTTGCTAATGCTTACTAAGGCAACTAAATATCAAGTGAAACATTTTTTTCTTCCTGTGGCTTGCAAGGCTGTGAGCAACAGAACCCAATTACTACGAACAAGTAATATTCCATACAATGTTGGGTGTGAACGTAATGCAGTCCCTGACAAAGTCTTCTTTTCCCATTTGATGCCTGCACACAGGACACTGCTTAGCCATAAGCCTTCAGATCGCTGAATGAAAACTGCACAGGCTAGATAAATGGAAAGAGAATGAAGGGGAAAATTGCAGTCACAGCTAAAGGAACTAAAACTACTGATTTTCTACTGAATCTTTGCTGTTAGCTTATTGCTAAGATTTGCCACAGCTATTGTAGCTTTTGAACCTGTGGTTTCAAAGTTTAAATATTCTCTCTTTTCCTTCCCTCTGCAGGGTTCCTGCACTTATCCTGTACAGTTACAGAGAGGAGTACAAGGTTTTGGTTTAGTGCTTAAAGCATCTTTTATGGGATGCTTTTACTAACAGTGTTTTGTTAAAAGGAATTTCAAAAAGCTGTAATAATGCAAGACAGGCAACTAATGCCTTTTTATGTGTCCAGACAAAACTGTAAATTTATGTCAAAAAGTGAAAATAAATGTTTTATAGGCAATTAAGGAGCAAGTCTGACTACAGCCACAGATATGTATTATCATGTAATTCTTGCCCCTTATGCCACAAAAGAGATTATCAGCTGTGCAGCTGTAAAACTTTTTTTTTTAAATACAGTTTCAGAATGCCTTTTATGTCAACATGCAACAATAGTTGCATGAGAGAGGATGAATTATCTTCAACTTGTAACAAAACTGTTTTAAACTTTTTTGAAGGAGGGTTTTTATCTAATAAAAGGTTTGGCTACTCAGCCTTCTTGAAATATGTATTACAAGCTTCTTGTGGTTTTTTTTCTTCTTAAACCCACTGTTTTAATTTCTATATAAGAGATGGTAGATTTCAAGCTTTAGCACTGCAGGCTCATTGCATTAAGAAATACCTACTTACTTTTTCTGCCCTTTTCTTGTAGTAAAGAGGAGGGCAAAGTTAAAATATGTAAAGAGGTAACTTTCAAGACTAACCCGAGAACTGTGAAAGTGGTTAAGAGCAACACACCAAGTAGCAGCAGGGGAGTCAGTCCCAAAGGCACAGATAACTGTACCATTCCTAGCAATTCACCAAGACAAGTCACATCAGTCATTACAACCAAATCCATTTCTCAGTGTGTTTAATAGGAACAATTAAGTATTCACCTTTCACATCTGCTCATATGAAGGACCTACTTTAAGACATGAAGTATGGGGAAACTCAGATCCCTGAATATACTGCAGGATGAAGCTTTTTTAAAAAAAAAAAGTTTAGGTGACATGAGCACTTTTAAGCCATGTCTGAAGGGAATATGATGCAGAGTCCTGCCCTCCCCCCCACCGTGAGCCAGGGTCAGCACAGCTGGATCAGCATGGAGCGAAGGCACAGCTGCCTGGCTCTGCAGGAGCTCAAGCGCTGTGCTGGCTGTCTTAGGGATATCTGCACTGCATCATGTAGACATGTCCCTCAAAATAAGACAGAAACAGGAAAGCTGCTGTTCCTGATAGTATGTTAGCACCCACTTCCCCTAGTACTACTGAGGCTTATCTATAAAACACAGCATCTGTCACTGAGACTCCTGCTCCAGTCTTACTTTGCTCCTGGTACAGTGCATTTCTCTTCACCCTGTGCTACCCCCCAAACAGGTTTTACACTGCCCACTTGAATAATACAAAACAAACAGCACTATAAGTACAAAACTAGTTGGCAGCTGAGTGTAAAGCTGTTTCAGTATAACCCTGTAAATACTCCTGCCATACAACACTCTCCAGAAAGCACCTTCTGCTGTCAGTTTAAACAAAGTACTGATTACATCCCAATATTCTGCTGGAAGGAAAGCCAAAGACAAGTGGTAACTCAAAAAGAAATGGACTTTGCTTTGAGCAAGGGTCAAGTCTGTTACAGTGATGGTAGGACACTGTTCCATCACTGCGTTGCTTTACTCTTCTTGTTTTTGCTTTTCTTGTCTTTTTTCTTCAAGCCATCCATGTTAGCTCTCAGCAAATTTGAATATGCCTGAAACAACAATTGTAACATTAAAAGAACAAATACTTAAGTGACAATATACTAGAGGTAACATTTTACATATTGCTAATGGATACGTATCTGCATTTTCTCAGTTAGCGAATCAAGCTCTTACACCCTACACTGGGAAACTATTGTTTCTAAACCAATGCAGAAAGTTAGATAAAATACAACAGGATTTTTTTTTTAAACAAATGCAGATAGATGGGTAGTCTAAGGTTAATCTGTATGCCAGTTCAGCACTGAATCAACCCGTTCACAGCTGTCCAGTGCTTCCTACTGACCACTCCCCAATACCTACAGAAAAGGAAGATAAAAGGCATACAAAACTTACCATCTGGAATTTATTTACTTCCTTTGAGCTCACCTACAAAAGTAATACTGGAGGTTAACCAAGAAAACACTGGCTTCTATTACAAACCAAGTATCAGTATGTGTTTACCCACCACTGACCATCGGTCTTTTTAGCAGCAGTTGGATCGACTCATCGCATTCCATGGTCGTTAGGCTGTACTGACATGTCATAGGACTTCACTCGTTTAGAAAACTGAAAACACTCCTTACTCGATTAACAAAATCCTTTGGAAGCCATTCATCCCAAACCCGTCTGTTTTCAAATGGGAGGAATGTGAAGAAACATTCCAAGGAAGGTTTTATTTACTTGTAGGGCCATAAAAATACGTTGCAGCCCAGACTCTCTCAACTATTTCTCAAAGTAACATTTTTCCTTGGGTTACATTGCAGAGGAAAGCTAGTCAGCTAACGCCTTTCCAAATCTCTCATTCAAAGTAAACACACATCAGGTTTTCAACTTCTAGTTAACATTTCCTGAAATACAAATAGCTCTGTAAATGACAAAAAAATAGGTATGCTAAGCAAGATTAAGGCTTAGAAGAATCTACCCATGCCCACACGCTCTTGCCAGGAAGCAAGGATCCCTTTCCTACTGTTTCACAGTCTGGGAACATTCAGTTCTTTCCTGGGTTGCAAGAACCTTCAGTAATTCCATCGAGGTCTATGGGAAGCTACCTCTTTGTCACCTGAGGCTTGAGCGTGGGTGGGTGTGCAGGACCTTTCTTCTCCTCGGAGCCACACCATTTGTCCTCATACTGCAGTTTCCATATCTGCCCTGTGTCCCTCTGCCTGTGCCTCTGGAAGCAGTTTCCCCCTTCCCTCCAAACAATTTCACCTGACTCAAAACACAACAGCCACGGTTGCTGAAAACAGGCAGAGTCCCTTTCTGCTGTCCTGCAATACCATTCTGAAGCAATATCCAGCATACAGAGCAAAACTATAAACTACTCTTCCATCTGTAATGCTGAGTGTAAGCATGAAGACTTCAGGTAAGTGCAACACTTCAGCATCCCAACTTCAGCTGTGTGCTTAGCTACCATACGGTTTCTCTAGAATTAAGAGGGTAGTTCTCATTAAATTCATGTAAAGACAAATGTCTCTTAAAATATATATGGGGCATTAAATAAAAGACAAGTAGGGCCACTAATCTTTCTAACCCAAAGCTGTCACTTACCACTGTGCTAATTTTCTTCTTTCCATCAGTTGCTCTTAGAAGACACTTATTGTCTGCTGGTTCAAAACTTTCTACGTGGCCTTTGCGTGGGACTGGTTTTGTTCGGCCATCATCTGTATTGAAAGACAGCGCACGTTTATTGGTATTTCACTAAAATCAGCGGATGCCTCCTGACACGAGATGTTAAAAATTGTTCATGAGAGATCTGTAAAACACCTTGGAATTTAAGACCATCTGAACTGACATTACTGCCAAATTGTTCACAGACCCCTTCCCCTGTTACCCCAGAAGGATCAGTTCCATGAACTACATCTGCCAGGAAAAAAGTGTAAATCCTTGCCCTGACATGCTGTATGAGCTGCCTGCTTCAGCAGCAGTGTGTTTTAAATGCATGTCAAACTGCAGCCTAGGAGACTTGACTTCTCAAGTAGCGCCAGCTAGCCAGAAACCAGAGAAACATAAACACACAAAAGCAACGCTGTAATTCTCCTTTTACAGAAATCTAAGGATTTCCAATTATTGTTTAATAATTAGAAAGTCCCAATATTTCCTGCAGTTTGAAATACAGTCTTTCTTCAAGGTTATTAGTACTGCAGGTAAGATGACTGATTTGTCCATACGACTACTCTTGCTTTCAGATACTCTGAATTACAACTATATCTTTTAAAATACATGCTAGCAACACTAACTTTGATTTAGATGAACACCTCTTCGATCCAGTAAGACTTAAAACTTACATTTCTTCAGCGTTATGAAAACACTCCCCGAAGTTCTGCACTTCTGAAAGAGTCTGGTAAGCTCTGTCAGGAACTGCAAGAGAAAGAGTCCCGCCCTTGGTCGGAGGCCACCACGCAGGCGTTTACTTCTTCTCCCCGTGCAGCCCAGCGACTCGCTGCCCGGGGCGCGGCCCCCGCCTCGCTCCGGCGGCTGTTCC